TTCCGCTTCTTGCACTGGACTGGCCAATGACTCCGTGAGAATGTTTCACGTTCCAAATCGGAAACTCCACTAAACATCGGCCAGCTTCCTTCCAGGAGATCTCACCTTGATTGTGAGAAAACTCCCCCGACTATGAAAAGATAGTGCAGCCAAGCGTTGACCAAGTTCCGTGGACGGACTATTAAACAAATTTCCCGGTGACTGGACATAATGATCTCGTCACAATGTGTGGATCCGATGGTAAAAGTGGTTCTCTGCCCTTCACCGCATCTCTAATAGAGGCAGGCTAAGCATCCAGTAGTCGTCGAGTAACACGGCGGGGGGAGAAATTTTTGGGGCGCAACGAGCATAATTCGCTGTTATTTCATGGCTTAGCGATGAAGAGGAACGAGAAGTGTGGGAAGTAAAAAGTGAGGAAGGAAGGAAGCTGGAGGTATATATCTCTCTCTCATTCACTCTCTCACTTTCTCATGGGCCAGTGGTCAGTCTGCATGTCAGGGTATATGGTCACGGAAACAGAGATGAGGGGAAAACGGTGACTCCATCCCCTCCTCGTGCATCGTTCCCTCCGTCCTTATACCCTTCTCGCATTCGACCGTGTGCGTAGGTTCTTGTGTTGAGTGTCCAAGGATTCTGCCATGATGTCGGTGGATGTGAGGTGTTCTCCAATGCCTCCTCCTCCCATGGACCATGCCATGGTAGGCTCAGCATTTCCACGTCTTACTTCTCCTGTCAGTATCCCACTCCTTCGCTCCTCCTCGATCAACAATGTGTATCATATTCACGTGACATGGTACAATTTAGAGATCCGCGCCGTGAAGACAGCCTCAACTGGGATAATAGAGCACATCACCCTAATCATATGGCGGCATTGCTCAAGTCAAGTTGTCTCAACACGCAATCGCTTCATCACATTAGAGCGCCTTGTCTTCTTTCCAAGTACCGATACCAACTGAGGCTTTTAGGAGCAATTATAGTACCGCATTCAGAGTAATGAGGAGGAAAAGCCGGCTACATTACACCAGCCATGACTACCCTGTAATATAGAAGTGTCGATTTTTATGTTACCGAGCCAAGCCTTGGACTTTTTTCTATCTTTTCTGTTCTCAGAGATCTACTACTCATGACTTTCCTAATGTGGTTGTGTCTTCCTAATTTCAGATGAACCAATTATGCAAAGTTTGTGGAGAGCCTGCAGCGGGCTTTCACTTCGGAGCCTTCACTTGTGAAGGATGCAAGGTAAATATTGGCCGGGCCAGTCGGTCGGCCCCTTTTGCTTCTCTCTCTCCCCCCCTCGTCTGACAAATCAGGCTGCATAATAACAGACTGTCTTCAAGGTCTTCTTTCTCTCCTTTCTGCTCTTGCATGACTGTGTCTCATTAAGATCCTCTTTGCCTCACCATCCCCTTCGATGGATCTCATTCCACGACGCAAGGCCTTCTTTTCTTTTTTTTTTTTGCACGCATTCCTATGAGATGTTCTAGAATATATTTCCCATGGCTAAGGCATGATTTTCGAAACGTGTCTTGCAATTTTCGCATGTTATAGAGAGCATTTTACAATATGAGGCGAAGTTTTGTTGTATACATCATCTTCATAATAAATCAAAGTTTTCTGGGTTATACGGAAGTAGGGGAATGGCAGTGAAAACGCGTCTGATGCTTTCATGTTTTGCCGACAGAGTCCTATTTCTTGATTCCTAATTTATGCGCACATAGAGTTGGGACCGGCGAGAGAAAGGGATGAGGAGAGGGGGGGAGAGAGGGATGAAGAATATTCTCGCATTAGAATAAAGTATCCCTTGCGCCACTCGCGAAGACAGCTCTTCTGGACCCAATTAGTCATCGAATCGGGGAGGTCCCTCCTCCATCTCCTCCTCCTCCTCCTCATTCCACACATCCCTGTCACATTCCTATGGGGCTTATAGACACCTCGGTTCGTGTAACGCAGGATACCGTAGGAGAGGATGGAGATATTTGCTGGAATCTCTGACTGGAGAGCAAGAGAGCGGAAAAAAATGAGTTGGACGCTCTCACAAGAAGTTTTTCTTCGTGCTCTGAATCTATATAGCTCTGACCTCTCTCTCTCCCCCTCTCTGTCTCTCTCCGCTTTTCCATCTCTGGCGTGCTAGGCTCTGAAGCGCAAATGAGAAGGTCGACAAGAGATTGCTAGAGGGGAGGGAAATGCTAGCAGACGTAGTTCGTGTGTTATTTTCGGTCTATGAGGTACAAAATGACCAAGTCATCGTGTAAATAAGCCCAAGGTCTCCCTCCTTGACGACGATCCTACTTGGCATGTTTGCTGCATTTCAGTCCACATTCCGGAACATATGGGAAGATCCTAGAGCTCCATGATATACCGGTTGAACTTTCTCTTCAAGTTCTCGATCATCTTTATCTTTAGCCCATGATGTCCAGGAAACAAAAGAACACGCATCCAGAGGTTCTTATGGCTGCCTTTTAAAAAGAAACGAGATTCTGGCTTGATGTGGTAAACTAATTTGTAAAAATAATCGTGAAATTTGAGCACCGAAATTCAGGGAGCGATTGAGGTTCGTCCCTAATTTTCGTGAATGGAATCATCGCATCGCACACTAACAATCCTAGCACTTGCAGACGAATGTTGAGCCAGAAAGCCGGAAAAATTCGCCTTCTTCCGTTTCTATTCGACCGTGATGAGGTCACGAAATCTCGTTCGCGCTGCGGAAGAAAAGGGAAAAATTGTGACTGAAGAGAGAAGGTAAAAAGTCACATACCGGTAACTCTAATGTCACGTTACCTAACCGCATCGAAAGTCATAATTGGGCGGAATCCAGAGCGCAACCATCGACTGTGAAAGGATTAGGAAAGAGGACATCTTCCACGTTGTACGTAGTGTGTTGCTGCTTGATCCGCTTACATGCAGGGATTGAGCAAGGCGACGACGATGTCCCAGCTTCCGAAACACACGCATACACACACACGCACACACACACATACACGCACATTTCCCTCTCTCTCTGCCTAATATCTTTCCTTGGCACTACGAGTGTTTAAATTCGAAATTCCTTACAGTGATGAATCGCATTCCCAATTACTCGTCCATTTCCACGTTCTTCGTTCTCTTCTTTGTTTCATCCGATGTTACATAATAGTCACTTTCTTACTTTCAGTTTCCTTTACATTTTGCGTGTTATTGTATCATTAATTAGTTTCTTGTTTTCTTCATTGAGAAATCCTCTCAAGTTGACCTCCAGACTCGTTTTCAAGAAAAACCAGACACACTCAGACAATTTTTCTTTCATGTTGGACGTGAGGTAGCGGTCGAAGGAGAAGGTGCTAGCTGGAATCTCGTTAGAATCTATGGCAAAGGTGACCCAAAGATTGTGCTGACTCAGGGCATCTGCCGGGTGAGGAGGCGCGAAATGATTGTCAGAATAATCCAATTAGAGTAGGCTTTTCCTCCTTTGGTCGACATAGACCAGAAAATAGTGTAGAGCAGCCGGGCTGGCTCCTTGGCTGCCCTTATCAGCACGAAAGATCAGCAGACAATGCAACGGTAGAGAGGATATTTCCGGATCAAATTGCATCACGATGCGGTCTAGCGAATGAGATCACACAGATATCGGGATTTAAAAAAAAAGGAAAAAAAAAAACCAGAGAAAAGAAAAAAATCCGTCTGAGTCCCCGTGCCCCCCTCTCTCTTCTTCCCTGTTACATGCATCATTCTGACCCCCTGCCCATCTTCTCTATCCCGCTTTTTCCTCCCTCGTCTTTCTTTCTCCTCTCTGAGCTGGAAAGGTGTTCCCATTACTCTCATCCGTGGGATTTATGAGCCACGAGAACATTGAGGGTGGCGGATGCGCAATTTGCATAGTCTTGAAATATTCACCCCTGTTAAAATTCTGTCATGGACATTGGGAACCCGTATTTTTCTTACTTTCTTCCCCTCTCGCACTTCTCTGGCTTTCCCTCTTCGTCCCCCCACCCGGTTCGAAAAGTGAAATTCTCCGGAGTTATCCGAGGCGTGAGATTCTGGACTACTTAATTCCTTCGAATAGTCCGACACGTCCTTGTTCAGGTCCTTCGTGATGCCTTCCCTCCTCGGCCCCCCCCCCCCCCATCCCCCCACCACCTTTGCTTCTCCTTACTGTCGCCTTTCTTTTCATTTATTCATTTATTGCGCTCTCGTTTCCCTCCCTCTCGCCTTCGGCCTCTCGTTTCCCTTCTTCCCCCCTCCCTCCTCATCTCCTCCGAGTTCTCAGTCAATTCAGGACAGAAAAATGCCGTTCAGGAGGTAGGCTGTGTGTGCTCCAAATTCGGAGAGGGCGGTATGCTCATGGCCCCAGTGCCCTGCATGGTATTCGCAATGCATCTCGATGTACCACAAGGGGAGCAAAGAAGAGACCTTTGTGCGGCCTCAGCGAGGAATGCCCCATTGTCTCATGGCGGACACGAATCATGTAAGGAGAGAGGATAGAAGACAGGCAAGGAGGGAGAGAGGATGAAAAAAAAAAACCATGCTCTATTACTGCTTCTGGCGGTCCCAGTCGTGCTTTACGGCGCTACTCTGTCCTGGGCACAGAGGGTTTTCGTTTTTATCTCTCAGTCAGTCCGCATGTCCTGTCTTCCGCGTGTGCTTTTATAAAACCCCCTTCTCTCCCGAACCCGTTATTTTTGGTGTTTTGCTGTCATGGGTCGTAAATCTGTCGGGTTTCCAAAAATGGACAGCACGGGGTAAACAGATGTCATCAATATTCCATTAATATGAAGGTGAGGAGGCAAACAATCGGACGGGCGAGGGAAAAAAGAAAAAAGGAGCGGCGTTGGTAGCCGGAGTCGGAAGAAATGCCTTTTCCTTTTGCCTTGCTCTGACGCACAACCAAGCGAGCACGTCCCCCATTTGTAACGCTCCGCCAACTCAACAATCCCAATGAAATACGGCGTGAAATTCTCCATATTTCATTCGGTATTTTGGGATCCTTGATTTAATCGTCTTTTTCCTGGTACGACAACAACAACATGCCGCATGTGGGAGCGTGTCGGTTTATTTTTCGCTCACAGCTGCAGCCTTGGAGATACAAGGATTTATAGACTTTCGATTTTCTCTGTATGCTCGTTCGCGTTGCAATTTGGGTTTACATCGTACCCATGGCACCCTCTTCCTTTGGGTCTCCCCCCTTCTCTTCTCCAAATTAAAAAGCTTCATTGTTACTCTACAGCAGCAGGCCAGTACGGTACTGTACGTCTCAATTTAGACAAAGGACTATAGAGCATTGCGAATATAGGCTATATCCCAATCTGGAATCACGGAATAAATCCTAGATCGCTCATCAGTGATCATACTCCTCAGAAGTTTCACCAATTGCAACAATCCATGGTAAATGTACGATAATAAAACCTGTCTTATTTGGGGCGTGAAATCGACCCCTGGCTTGGATACCAAAGCAGGCAACCTTTTCGGGGATAGTTTCTAGTTATGCTTGCTGTCGTGAATGCATGTGCGACATGTCGTTTTCAACTTGATGAGTCGAGTTTATGTTGCAAAATGCAAATATATATTTCCAGTGCTTTGTTATACTTCTCCGTACAACAAATGCTGCTGTCGAAAGTTAGTCTTAACGATTCATGGGAAGACCAGGAAATTGCATCTCTCTTATGCATGAGCCTATCGTCTTCAGCCTGTGACATGTCTCTCGCTATTCTGCCTGCATGTCTTTGTTCCGAGTTTTTTTCGTTGAGAGATGGTATTCTCAAGGAAGCAATGGTCGCCATTGGTTGTCCTTTTTTTCCGTTGCAGTCCTTCTTCGGCCGAACGTACAACAACTTATCGTCCATCAACGAATGTAAAAACAGCGGTCGATGTGTGATCAACAAGAAGAACAGGACTTCTTGCAAGGCATGCCGACTTCGCAAGTGCCTCATGGTGGGGATGAGCAAGCAAGGTTCTCGATATGGCCGTCGGAGTAACTGGTTCAAAATCCATTGTCTCCTTCAAGAACAGACAGGCGCCAGCCTGGAACACCCTCCCGTCACGAAGGACCTGAACAAGGACGTGTCGGACTATTCGAAGGAATTAAGTAGTCCAGAATCTCACGCCTCGGATAACTCCGGAGAATTTCACTTTTCGAACCGGGTGGGGGGACATGTTACGCAGCATTCCCATTTGGATTCTCTCCCATTATCACCGCCTCTTGGAGTCGTAGCTGCATCTATGGGTCAGCCCTTCTTCGATAGGAATCTGTTCCCGGGGCTTGGACCGTTGTCTCCATTGGCGATCGGGGGTTTACCTCCCTTGAGTTTGCCGTCTTTCCCAGCTCCACCAAGGGTGCTGCTCGGTCCCCTCCCTCCGACGACTAATCCAGCTTTCTTGATAGCACGGCGGACCTATTTGGACGCTGTCCTCGGGCGGCAACGTCTTGGAGGGATGAGATTCGAGTCCCACGGACCTGGACCGGAAACAGGACTCTCTCCACCCGAACCGATCTCCGGACAAGTTCCGGAACAAGAGACTCCCATCGACCTCACAGTGAGGAAAGGGGGGATTGGAGGAGGACGAAACAAGTTTGAGGTGAACTGCTCTGCGAAGAGCCCTGGTTCCGCCGAGAATGAAGATTGTAGTGATGGGGCTGGTAGTGCATCGGATGTGGAAGATCCTGACAGTCCCGGCACGGGACGTTCCTCTCCTGCCTCACCCGAAAATGATGATGAGACTCGGCACCGCCGAGAGGAACCTAGCACGCCTTTGGACCTCACTACCCGAAGTGGATAACGGAAGTTGATTTCCTAGATGCTCAAGCCCTCGTCCCCCGTCCTCCATAGAACTCTGCTTTCGTGTGTGTATGTCTTTTTATATAAATATTTTTTATCTTTGTATTCTGTTAAAACGGGACACGGGCCAGTTATTTTTCATTTTCACTGCCAGTATTATTGAGGAGCTGCACCAGAAGGATAGAAGAATCTGGGAGAAAATGACCGAGGAAAATTCATAGAATAATGCCATTGCAAGATCGTCAACATCCTTCGACTTGGTATTCGTGCAATCTGCTCAAACATGCACGTGTGACGTGCGGCGTGGAAGAAGTGTTACTGGTGTATATCATGCATGATTCTCCATGCTTTTCTAGATTCTTTTATATCCGGTGTAAATGAGCAGGAGTCGATTCCTTTTCTCAGTGGCCAAACTGTCCTGTTCCATGCAAACGCTTAAAATGAGTGGGCGTCCTAACGTCATTGCCATGGGGCCAGTTTCTTTATTCTCATGAATTTCGTTCGGATCACAGCTCTGTTAGGTAGTGTGAATGAATGAGAGAAGCTAAGTATGTCTGATGATTTTTAAAAGTGAAACAGTATTATGTTTGCTTCCTTGTGAACCAAGCACCTCAAAGAGTGTTCTTGGTGGAAATTACGCTTTACGAAAGACCAATCTTTGTGCTAGTCCGTGAACCATAGGGGGTAGACAAGGAAAGAAGCATGTGAAGAACTTTCCCTTTTCCAATTTCACCAGTTGGTCCAGTCATTCGGCCTGAGACATGAACTCCTGATCACCATGAAAGATCTGAGAACCCGATCCTTCACTTGGAGTATCCCCTTCAAGGGAACTTGAAATTTGTTTCGATTTTGTGATTAACGGCTTGCCATTCTTGACAGTGAGCAGGAAACGCAAAAGGAAGAATATGGTATTCCATACTTCTAAAAATGCAAATGCTGCAACCTCCCTCCCTCACTTGTCTTGCGTCTTGAGTCCGGTCGCGAGATTCCCTTCGGCATATGCAATGTTTGGGCAGTGTACAGGAAGGACTCAGATATGTACAATGACCCGTGCCATAAGTATTATTATTATTATTATTATTTCTATTATTGGTATGTTATCATTGAAGAAGACTGAATATTAACGCACAATTATGTACAGAGCCTTTCCCTACCTTTGATTTCATGTCTTGTCGCACGCCTTCCCAGGACACATATCAAGTGCTCATTGTGCAGGGCTTTCAACATTTCTTTCGTCTCTGCCTCCGTCTCCCCCTCCCCCCATCTCTGATTCAATTGCTTGGGAAGAAAAGGGATAGGCTCCTACTAGGCCCGATGAGTGATGAAGATTCGGAATAAAGATTGAGAGATTCATATACCGAAGTGATCCTGCTTATGTCATTTCCGCGATCCCAAAAAGTCAGACTTTACCTTAGGACATCCTACGAATGAATACTTGGCATATCTAACCGAAGCCAAGGCCACCTTTTGTCTTTTGCGAAACTTCCATCTCTTAGATAACCCTTTGTTTTCATTTTTAAACCTTTCATGGCCAAGGATCTTCTCTTGTGGAAGATTGTGTTAGTGTTCTTATTTTTCTGCCATTGTACTGTACGCGTAGCATATTGGCAATCAGTTTAGCTACAGACGAGCCAGAATAAGTTTTCTATTTGACCTCCATGCCGCAGCATTTGCCTTATTTAGAGTGCACGATCCAGGAAAGCATGCTGCTCTATTACTGGTCGCCCTTGAGCGATCGAGTGCCGGAAGGCTTTTTTGTCCGATTTTTGGTACAAAGGATGGAAGGCAAGAACGAGAAAGTCATTATTGATTGCACAAAGGCACCAATATCAGCATGAGCGGTATCGTCAGATGCTGTTCGTTTTCTTGTCAGACTTTTCTCTTACAACTGGAGTCAATATTTTCCCTAGGATTACCCGCGCCGACAAGTAATACTTATGGAAAATGAATATGTGATGAACATCCCCCTTGAAGGGCATTTTGATTCATGGATAAGGCCCTGAACATGTACAGCCTGCAATACTCTCTAGTGTGCCGGGTTAGCAGGAGGACCAGGTGGGGAATCCCGTGATACGCCGACTGTTTCATTATACCATTAGCCAACGTGAGATGAGAGGACTTCCCACACGTTTCCTTGCATTCCATCCACGCTCACAGGTGGGACTGTCTGCCTTTCTGCCCCCGACAGTCGGCCGGTGACGGAACACTTACATGAAAGTGTTCCGTTGAAGTCATCAGACCATAGCAGACACAGTAGCAGACTACATTCCTTAGCTCACGAGTACTGGCAATGATCTGGAACTCTGGTCCTAGCGATTTATCCGCTCTAAATTCGCTTCCTGACCTCACTGAAACACCTTTCATCACCCGAGGAGCATATCATAAGACTTCCTCTAACATGGCCACTCCAAGAATGGAAAGAGATGCACAATTACTCTGTTTTTTTGTCCATCCTCCCCTCACTCCCCCTTCCTAAAAACCCTCAAAGGCATTTCCCCTTTGATTATGCATTCTTGTATGGTGGAAATCTGAAGAAAGAATGGAAGAGGCTGAATGTGACGGACTTAATACCTCTAGCAACTCGCGTGTAGATGATTTTTAATTCATTTCCGGTATTCAGCAAATGAATGCTGGTGGAAGAATGTGTAAAAGGCGATTCCTGTTCAGAAAAATTGAAATTGAAATTAGAGGCACGGTTTTGGCATGAAATTGTCATTTTCTGCATTTCCACGGAACATCCGCTCCATTCCTCTCCCATGAAAAACAGAATGTGGAATCCGGGGACTTGTGACCCCAAGGTTCTCTACGGAGTTTTTAAGTTCGTCGACTGGTAAGTTTTTCTGAAAATCGTAGTATCACAGGGCAGTGGCGGATACAGGTGGGGGGGCGACCGCCCCCCCCCCCCCTATGGCCAGGTTGGAATTTGATTTATTTATTCAAAATTGCATCTGCATTAAATTTTATTTAGCCAGTGAAATAGATACTCAAGTTCTTACCCCAGACGAAAAATAAAAAAGGCGAAAGGACGAGGAATGGTGGTAGGGGGGGGGGTAAGTAGGAACTTTGAAACCGCCCCCCCTATGAAAAATTTTTGTATCCGCCCCTGTCACAGGATGGGCATGAAGTGGGAGCGATTGCGGATGAATACGAGTATAGAGCTATTCAGTCGCAATATTTCCCGTTAATTTGGGTTTAAATGGTGCTCAAAAAAGGAGAGTCCAGACCTTCCACCGTTATGCAATGATCTGGTTTACAACGATTAGGGAATATCAGTGGGAGAAATTGTGGCTTGAATCTTAAGTGCTCCAGTATGTTTGAAATCTATAAAGCTGGAGCAAGGAGAAAAAGTCCCCACCACGTGTGTCTTCCCGCCATGAGTATACCAGCAGCAACTTAGAAAAAAAATTATCGTAAGCATCCTCTGCCATTAATGAAAAAGCATCTAGGTTCGGGGTGACTGGCGGAAGCAAGCTAAAAAGAGGATAGGGAAAGCGATACGCTGGGTTATTAATGCATTCGAGTGGCTTCATAGGGAAGTGCGCGGCCGGCCTAGAACAATAATAACAGATACAGTCAGTTTCTGTGGCCACCTTTGGACACCGCAAAGTACAGAAGAAAAGAAAGCATTTTTCAATCCAATGCAACCACAGCTGAAGTCCTTCAAGTCTTACCATCCGCTACCATTCATTCACTCAAGTCCCACAGCTATGCAAAATGACATAGATAAGACGACAAAATAAGAATTAAGTACAAATAATATCCAAAGTGTGGAATTTCATAACACATTAAGAAGTAATTAATAGAAGACGTTCAGCATGGCCAGCAACGGCAGTGCTCAGATTGGATATGATAAGAAGAAGCTGCTTCTTGCGAGCCGCAAGTCCAGAAGCGACCTGCACCCCGACTGGTTCATGATTAAATTCTACCTAGCTAAAAATAGGAGAAAGAGCGAGGTGGACCCTCGTCCTACGGAACACAGGATATGACTGGGCTGTAGGTTGCGGAATTCAAGTCTCATTCAAGACTGTATTGAATGGGAAGCCATCAGCGTGTGAAAAACTTGCGAAAATGTCTTCCAACGCTGTGTTAAAATCGCATTATTAATTAAATGTACCTTGGAAAATCCCCGAGGATCTAAAACAAGCTAATGATGGAATTAGAGTAATGCCCAAGGAATGCACATCAATGAAAGAGCGAAGGTTGTGTAAAGGTGTCTGTGATTTCAGGCGTACCGGCATAGCCCTATATTATGAAGTCTTCCCTGAATAGTCCACATTCAATGAGATCAGCCGAGGGACTGGAGGATAAAAATGTGCACAATCATCTCACTAGAGTTTGAGGAAAGGAGACCGAGGTTCTTGGATTCCGCTCCGTCATGCTCTACACTCTCCCGACGAGAGTCTCGACCGACCCAGTAAGACTACGGAAAAGAAAAGGGAAGGAGAGAAAAAAAAAAAGGACTAAGGAGCGGAGCGGAGGTGTCAATAGAGATCCGAATTCCCTCTCTAACTTAGACGGAGAGATTTGTGATGATGGCTGGAATTAGATTAGCGTCGCAAAGAGGAGATTTGTAGTTGGCTCACGGCTGTTGACCTCATTGAAGGAGGCAGAATCCAAAGATTTGTAGTAGGGAAGTATAGCAGCGGCACCTCTTTCTCCTTCCTCCCTTCCCTCCCGGCATGTCCCACTCTTATCAAAAACCCTATACTGGGCTTTCAGTGATCTACATGTCACACGCGGTCTACCCCAGATCACCCACTCTTATTATACATTCGGTCACGTCGGCACTTTTACTAATAAATCTACTCGAAAATCAGTGAATCATTCATCATTGTGCGCCGACAGTTCTACTCGCGGAAGAGCGTCATCCTCACTTGTGGCATTTTTATGAGTTCTATCGGAATGTGTACAACGAATCGCTGAAGCAGTTCTATTCACATTTTTTTCAACGCTTGAAATTTTTTCGTCCCAAATGTTCTGGGATAGGGAGGAGGATGAGAC